AATAAGTCCTGTCATTTGTCCCTGGACATGCACAGGGGAGCTGATCACTGTGGGGGTCACTGCAAGATGGAACCTTCTGGTGTGGGCTCTGTGACCACAGAAATCCAGGATTTCTTAACAGGAGGACCTGAAGACCCTGCCTGCCAGGACCACACTAATGGGATGGCCAAGGAGCCTGTGGGACCCAGGCCACCAAGTGACCAAGTTGAGGCTGCCTGGTGGTTTTCTGGGGGTGTGCAGATTCCTGTGGTCAGCACGTGGGCCCAGCACTGGAGGATGGTCTGCCCAAAGAGGGCCTGCCCTCCTGATGATGGCTTCTAACACCTGCAGGGAAACTGCTCCCAGGGCTCCTGGAGGTCCATAGTGAGAGCGTGGTGACTGTCCTACCAGCCATGTGGGGTCACCTCATGATGCAGAGGCAGATCTCTTCCCCTTGGGGCCCAGTGGGCACCTGGCTTTGATCCTGCCTGTGTGCCCGGGACACGCAGCTCCCCAGAGCTCCAGCACAGCCTGGGGTGTGGTCGTGCCGGGAAAGGGAAGGCCCAGGGAGGGGGCTCATTCAGGGACAGTGGCTACTCTGCAGGGATGCTGGACCTGGCGGCTATGCAGTGCTTCAGAACTCCCCTGGGCTGGTTTCCAACCTGTGGGGTGGAAGGTCCTCTCCTTCCTGGGGTGCAGTGGGGAGAACTAGATCCATTGTGAAAGTCAGCCCCGAAAATGGAGACTGTGCTACATCCATTCCTGGAAAGAAGAATCAGGCCCCTCCAGCCCAGGTGACTCAGAAAGTCATTCAGTAATGTTTGGGGTCCCCAGTTTAGGCTCTGAATTAGAGCTGAGCGGCTCAGGAGGCCAGCTCCCTGTCTGTGGCTCCAGGAGCAGACTTTCTGCTGGGGGACAGGATCCTCACAAACACCTGTGTCTTTGTGGGTCACTCCCCTCTGACCAGCTGGGAGGCAGGGTGCAGTTGTGGGAAATCATGTTTCTGAGAGCAGAGGGCCGCCAGGTGGTGGGGGCACAGGAGACAGTGAGAATGAGTCTCACAGTCTCTCTGGAATTAAAACGCTGGCAAATATCAAAAAGTGCATAATTTATTTTATTGAACAGGCTGCTTATGTACGTTTGGAGGGCCAGGTTCAAGGACTCTGCATCCCTCCAGGACAATAGCCTCAAGGGAAGGACAGACAGCAGGAGGAGGTCTGGTGTTCCTCCTGGGAATGAGGCATAACAGGGATTTCTGCAGATTTGCAAGGAGACCCCACCCACTGAGCACAGGGTTACAACCCCATGTGACCCCTGCCTTGTTTGACTTGGGCTCTGGGTCGGGCTGGATCATGGATCGTGTATTCTTCCAGCTGAGTTCCAGAAACACAGAGGGTAGACTTAGAGAGGCTGCTTTTGGAACCTGGTGTGGAGGTGGAGGGTCCTTTATCCTGAGTCCCCTCAGCCGAATCACTGTAGCTGAGTTCCAACACCCCCCAGGCCCCCAGGGTGGCCGTGGAGGGAGAGCAAGCCTGGCAGGTGACCCAGGAGTCCCACTACTTTGCCCCTCCCTTGTCTTTGTTCCCTTTCACCCTGGAAGTTGTGATTGTCTCATGTCATGGTGACAAGCAATCTCTCTTCTCTGTCAAATGGGGTCCCCACCCCCACTCAGCCTTCTCTCTGCATGGATGCTGAAGGACCAGGCTTACTTGAAGTTCTGAGCTTGACCAGTAAGGTGGAAACAAAGAAACCAATGGAAACAAAGAAACAAGTGATTGTGGCAACGCTCCCCACCACAGAGAAGCTGCCCTGAGTGGAAGGGAGGGTGTGGGCATGCCCATTTGTTTCCTGTCTCCCAGTGCTCTTTGCTTTCTTATTGCAGACCTGCATGGTTACAACAAAATGATCAGCAAAGCTGAAAATATTTACTCTGGCTTTTACAGAAAAGGCTGGCCAGCCTCTGGTTCCCGTACCGGTGAAGTGATTGGAGTACCTTTCCAGTTTGGAAACATCTGGGCAGGCCCAGGTTTGCAAAATTCTTTGAGTAGTTACGGAGTTTTGCTTCTAAAATCTTTTATGGCTGTGTACTTCTGAGCTGAGGCTGTGCT